GGCGGGGGGGGGGGGGGGGGGGGGGGAGTCTGAGATTTTGCATTTCTAACAAGCTCCCAGGTGATGCCAATGCTGCCGGTCCTCAGACCACACTTTGAGTAGCAAGATCTAGGGAGAGACTGATTCAGTAGGTATGAGGCAGGAATTGGTATCTTTCATTTTTAAAAATGTCTTCAGGTGGGACTTCCCTGGTGGTCCAGTGGTTAAGACTTCGCTTTCCAATGCAGGGGTTGCGGGTTTGATCCCTGGTCGGGGAGCTAAGATCCCACATGCCTTGCGGCCAAAAAACCAAAACATAAAACGGTAGCAGTATTGCAACAAATTCAATAAAGACTTTAAAAATGGTCCACGCCAAAAAAAAAAAAAAAGTTAAAAAAATTGTCTTCAGGTGATTCTCACCCAGGGGTGAGTTGAGACTCACAGCCCATTGGTGGCTGACTTGTTGCAACTTTCTGGGAGAATTGGCAGGTGCTCTCCTTGGCTTGCAGCACACAGCTCCCTCCCGGTTTTCCTCTTTCTCTCTGGTCCCTTCTTTCTGGTATCCTCAGGTGGCTCCTCTTCCACCGAGTTAGTCTTAAAGGTTTTCAGGTTTAAGTTGTCTGTTTCTTCTTACTCTAGCCTGTCTCCCTAGGTCACATTTTCTGTTCTGACAGCTTTGGCTTTGAACTATGGCTCATCATTTTCCAACTCTAAATTTCTGGCTGGGCTGTCCTTTCAGAATGTCAGGTCTGGGTAGTTAACTCTCTGCTAGACCAAACGTCTTACAGAAGATGATAGATGTAAACACGCTCCTGCCCCAATGTGCTCGGTCCCCAGTGGTCCTCATGGCAGCACCATTTGCCCTAGCTGTCCAAATCATCTTTAACGTCTCCCTCTCTTGCACTCCTACCTCTAACCCTCTAGATTCTTCCTTCTCTATCTCTTGAATTTGCCCATTTCTCTCCATTTACGCTTCCCTCTCTGAGCTCTGTGTACCATCATCTCCGCTGGACCACTGTCCTCGCTGGCAAGCGGTCTCCTCCTTTCACCCGCCTTGTCGCCCCACCCCACCCCACTCTGTTGCCATAGCGATGTTTTAAACATCTGATCCTCTCCGCCTCTTGCACATAGATAGCGTAAATCCTCCAGAAGCTTCCCTTTCCCCTTAGAACAAAGTGACAGAAGAGAGGAGATAAATAGATCCAGGGTAGGAGAGAGGCGGGTTAGGGTGGGAGTGAGTGGGGAGAGGGGAGAGAGAGCAGATCAGATGTCAAAGCCACTATGGGTTTCCAGTTGTCAGTTAACTTACTTGGATCTCCCTGGGATACTGGCTCCAAAGACTGTGTGCTTAATTCTTTTTTTGGAACAAATCCTGGAAAGAGCAGTAACACTTTTGGTGACTTACAAGAACAGGAAGCATCTGGCCTCACCCCAGGGATGGGGACAAAATGGATACTCACACTCAGCTCAGGGGGCTTGGCTTACCAAGTGTGCTCTACTCCATAACACCCCCATCTTAAGACAGAAGAATGAATGCTTACCGACAGCCTACTAGAGACACAGTACTCCCCTGGGTACTTGCAGGCATTTGAAGTCAGGAGACTTGAGATTTGTCCCCTACTGCCCGTTAGGAGACAGCCATAGTCTCCTTATCTGAAAGCATTAAGCACTTTGCCAGTGTAAATTATCCCTGTGTAAAATTCTGAAAATCTTGGGGTCAGGGCACATGTCTCACTCATCACGTGAACCTTTCCTGTGGTCCTCAGGCAACATTCAGTGACTGAGTTGATACACAAAGTTGACTGAGACCGAGGACAGTCTAATGGGGGTTGGGTGTAGACTGGAGGGGAAGAGATGAGATACAAGCAACTCAAATAAGAGGGTCTATAATGCTTCCCTTCCCCTCCAGCAGTCTGAGACCAGAGTACAGATGCAAAAGGGTTTAGGGCTTTGAGAGGGGGTGTATGTGAGTTGAATTTCAGCCTCAGGGGTCTTCTTTAGAGCTGTTTACCTGGGAGCCAAGTTCACAAATATATAAGGAAATAAAGACAATAAATACGAGTCTTTTTAGGCTTGGTAAAGCCAATGAGTTTCTTGGGCAGAGTGAAACTTGCAGCACCAACCAGAAGTGAGTCTCCCCGTTTCTGGGATGCTGGGTAGCGCCCACTGAGAGTCTCCCCCAGTGGAGGAGGGTGCTAAGGGCTCTGCTCGCTCCTGGCTGTGGTGAGCTTTCTCCTCGCTTGTTAGTTTTTCCAATTTGCAAAGCACATGAGTTCATCTTCCCATTAAAGGTCAGCTTGCTCGTCCCACTTCCTCACATCATTTAAAAAATTCACGAATGGCATTTCTCATCCAGGAGCTCTGGGAGGGGAAGAAATACATGTCCAGAGGCCATCTCTTCCTCCATCTCCTCCCCCCGCAAACCCACCAGCAAAATCGGCCCTTGAACCAAGAGTCAGAAGGCCGCATTTGCTGTTGGAGTTTCAAACACTTAACGCGGTAAACAGGGAACAACATTCATTCATGTGAAGGGAAAACCTGAATCCCATTTGCAAAGAAGAAAGAAGAAACAGAAGGAAGTCAAAGTGTGCTCCCAGACGGAGTGAGGGTCTAACCCATTTTGGGGGCCTGGAACTCACTCCCTTCTGCTTTTTTGTCTTCACATTTCCTTCCCTCTTAGTGATCCAGTCTTGTCCCTTACCCAGGCCTCCCTGTAGGAGCTTCAGTGGGCCCTTCGCATGGTCACTAGACCCTAATGTAGGAGGTGACACTGTTGGAAAGCCTTCTCTAGCTGAGCTTAGTCTCTGTGCCACCTGCTGTACGAATCCTGATCTAGTCACGGCCAGGAGGAAGGGCTGCATAATTACCTGCATCTAGAAGCACCGATCCAGGTTTCCACAATTCAGGTTCCCCTGGTTTTCAAAATTAAAAAGAAACAAACTCATTATTTAGATGAAAGCAGCAGAAGCTCTCAAGTGAACTGCCAGGATGATAATGTTTTCTAACTATAGCAGAAAGTTCAGTAAAGAAGCAGGAGACCAGACTTTGGGATGAAGCAACCTGAAATCTGTGGGATTTTCTCATTTAAAGCTCTTAAAGCCAAAGACGAAAACATCTTTACTCTTTTCTTCCTTTCCCTATGCACCAAGAATCACAGAATAATAGGAATCCTGGAATTCAAGGGGACCTAAAAGCTCATTCAATTTGAACCAGCCTCCTAACCTGCTTCAATAACATCTCTACCTAAGCGAGTGGCTGGCTGGTGCTTGGATCCCTCCAGAGACAGGGAACTCACTACATTCGCAACTAAAGTAGTGCATTTCTTCTTGGACTGTTGAGACTTTGAGAAAACTTTTCATTGTATCAATATGAAATCTTTATCCATCCATCCATCCTTCCATCCACCCATCTACCCGTCACACTCAATAAGCACCCAAAATATGCCCAGCATCATTCTGGGTACATTTGTCTTACCCATCTGTTTGTGTTTCTTTCCTTGGAACCACACAACAAATCTGGCCCCTTCAGGGAGCAGGCAGCACATCCATTTCCTGAGGCTCTGCTTCTCATGGTGTGCCCCAAGCAGAATAGAGCAAAGTGGCACCTGGCATCCTATCTGTTTAATGCCCTTCACCACAAACCAGTGCTGATGAAGTGGCAGCGGTGGTCGGGAAGGGGAGATTCTTACCCAATCTCCCTGATCTCTTTTGGAGAATTATGGCTGGGAGGGGCTCAGAGGCAGCACAAACATATTAGGAAGCCTCGTAAGGACACCCTAATGGCTGTTTCTCTCCCTCTCCCATTCCCTCCCCTCTCCCCTTGCCTTTAGCTCTCAAGGCTGAGAGCATAACCAACTGTTTCATTTCTTAAAGGCCATCAGCTTTCCAGCACACTGCAATTATTAACACACTCAAGTGAAGTGATATATTCCTTTGCATGATTAAAAGATGCCAGGCCATTTTGAAAGATAGTCTGTGTTCTTGCAGGTTCTGGGTTAATGGTGAGAACCGAGTTTAATTTGGCTCAGCCATTAACCAGGTGTAGGACCTTGCGCAAGTCACATGCCCTCGATGAACCTCAGTTCCTTTTTGAGTAACATTAGCAGTTTGGGTGGGATGATCTCCAAACTCAAAATATTTGTGACGTATATGTTTAAACATTCAGCTTCTTTAACCTCGTTACTCTATCGCCACCTACTGGTAAAAATATGCGCTTTGCCCTTTTCCTTAAAAAAAGGTGCTGGTGACGTCTCAGTTTTTTCCCCCCGAGGCTTTCAGCACCCTTGGGTGTGAGGAAAGATTAGAATGCTGGAGGCTCTATTACTTTGGCAGGAGATAAACAGTTCTCTGACATGAGGGATTTTCAAGCCTCTTACTCCTGTCCTGGAGGCCTGCCCTTCTGTCCATGCCACTTTCATTTGTTTGGGACAAGTTTGAACCAAATCGCTTTCATCCAAAAGCCAGAGGCTGAAAAAATATTTGGACAGCTCAGACTTGGTGTCTTGGGATTGGGTAGTAATGAGAAGTAGGTTTGTGAGAACATTTGTGTTGTGGTGTTGAGGTCTGAGGGCGTGGTGTGGGGAAAACGGAAGTCAGAAGACCCGTCCTGAGTCTACCAAAACACTAGCTGGGGGTCTGGGGGGCTCGCCTACCTTCTCTGATCTCCAGTTTTCTCCTGCGTAAAGCCGAGCTCATAAGGACTTCTCCTGCCCTGCCTCACATGAAGGTAAATGTGTATAAAATCACTCTGAAAAGTGTAAAATGTGCTCGTAAAAAAACAGCTAATTATTTTTGTGATAATCCTGGCTCGGTCATCTTATAGATACAGTCAGTGTCTAAGAGAGGTATTGATTTTGAACACGCACTGACCAAGCTCCTTCTGAGCATTAAGTCACAATAACCCTGTGGGTCAGGTACAGCTGTGATCCCACTTTACGGGTGAGGAAACCGACGCACAGGAGGTGGCAGAGCAGAACGTTAAGCCCAGGCAGGCAGGCTCCACCTGCATGTAATCACCACCTGTTTATCACACGGGAGGCGTCATGGTCGCTTCAGCATCTCAGGGTACTGGGTGAGGCCACGGAAAAGCTGGGCCTGGAACTACACCTGTAACGCACACGAAGCGTGAGGGCCCAGGACATTCCTGTTTTAAGATCCGTGACGACCTTTGCACTGGTTACAGCTCCTTCTGTTCCCTGCACATCTGGAAGTCACCAGCCCGGGACCCGAGCGGGAGCCCCCTAAGGGAGGCCGTTAGGGCTCTCAAATTTTATGGGGCAGAAGCACAGGTGACCCTTTAGCCCCCCGGCTTCTCCCCGGTGACTCTCGGTGCAGTTTTTAGGAGGAGTTGGTCGTCTGAGAGGCAGCAGCCTCTGGAGCCAGGGGACTCTGCACACCCCACTTCCGGGGCCTGGCTTCATGCCCCGAGGGCTGCACATTTCCCTTGGAGAACTTTCTCTGGCTGCGGTGAGATGGGGGCACTCAGAGAGCAGCTGCAGCTGTGCCAAAGGAGCCTCGTGCCTGCGGCCCAACGCAAAAGGGCTGTCAGAGAAGGCCGAGGACAGTCAGAGGTCCTGGGCGCGGACTGTCACGCCGGCGATGCGTCAGCAGTCCCGGGTTTACAGGTGGGTTCCCTCTAAAGCTCCGTGTGGAATATTTGTTTGGCAGCCTCTTCTCATGGAAACAACATCAACTCCACCGTTAGGTTTCCAGGCCAGTGAAGCTTATCTGATCAAACAGAGCTCACGGTACCGTGAAGCCAGGCAGCAACAGGATGGTTCCAAGGAAAAGTCCCCGAGTTTAGCTTCAGTCACTCCAGTCCTGTCTCAGAGGGTCCCGGTAGGAGGGGCGGGGGTCTGCCTATGGGGGCTGGAGGAGGCCCCAGAATTCTAGAATCTGAAAATATCTGAGTCCTCTTTGTAGTTCTAACAGCACAGTGTCTGACATATAGTACGCTCAGTAAATTTTGTTTTAAATTAAAGAACAGTTCCCCTGCAGTGGAAGCGGTGGCTTAAATTGGGGATGTGTCAAGTTACACCTGTGGGCAGAAAGCATAGTGGGAGGAGGAAGCAGGAATCACTCGGGGTCATAAGTTTGGTGTCCCGTGGAGGAGAGGATGGAATATTGAGGCCGACGACAACATCATTAGGTCCATACATAGCTGCCTGGGTCTGTTAATGGTTTGCCCTAAACACAGATGGGATATTTAATGGGGCTCATGAAATTCCGTCCCATGTGATGTAATTTTATCAGTGACTGGAAGGGAGGTAGGTGGCATGTTAATGAATTTGGTGGATGACAGAGAAGTTGGAAGATTGTTAGTATATTCGATGACAGAATTAAGATTCAGGAAGACTACAGGATTGGGGTGACCTGCTTCTGTAGAAATACCTGAGAAAAAACCCTGGGAACTTGAGTGATTGCCAGTTCAGTAGGAGATGAGCTGATGATGAGACAGAACCTCCCCCCCACAAGGAACTTGGGATGTTTTCATGGAACCAGAGTGTTTAGGGCGAGAGGCAATTCCCCGGGCACAGCCCTTGAGGCATCGTGTCCTGCTCTGAGTGCCCTGTTCCCACTCACTGACAGACTGTGGTTTAGCTCGAGGGTGTGATGCTGAGTCACGTAAGGACCTGTTGGAGGAATGAGAGAAATTTATCCCAGAAAAGATGAGACATAACGGAGGACATGAAGGCTACTTTCATATATTTGAAAGGCTCGCAAATTTATGCTCTTAAAAATATTGAAGACCCCCAAAGAGCCTCTGTTTGTGCTGGCTACATCTACTGATTTGTCTCATATTAGAAATTAAAGGGCTTCCCTGGTGGCACAGTGGTTAAGAGTCCACCTGCCAATGCAGGGGACATGGGTTCGAGTCCTGGACCGGGAAGATCCCACATGCCGCGGAGCAACTAAGCCCGTGTGCCACAACTACTGAGCCTGCGCTCCTAAGCCTATAAGCCACAACTATTGAAGCCCGTGTGCCACAACTACTGAAGCCTGCGTGCCTAGAGCCTGTGCGCCACAACAAGAGAATCCACTGCAATGAGAAGCCCTCGCACTGCAACGAAGAATAGCCCCTGCTCGCTGCAACTAGAGAAAGCCAGCGCACAGCAACGGAAGACCCAACGCAGCCAATTAAATAAATAAATAAATAAATAAATCGTAAAAAAAAGAAATTAAAACTGTGCATCCTCTCATCTGAAACAGAGTATTAACTATCCATCTATTTTACTATTTATTCACTTAAAAATAACAATAGACCTATCTATTCTAACATTTTTTATGAAAAATGTTTTCTGAAACAAAAGCATTCAGTGAGAAGAGTGGCACATTTCTTCAGTGTCTGACATAATAGAAGGCAGCTAGCATCTGATGTCAGTTCCTGCAGTCAATCTGTGGTGAAATCTCGTTTTGTGTTGAAGGGTATGAGGAAGATCTGGCCCCACACAGTTCTGTACGCAGAGAAGGGAGGGCCTCACAGAAGGCCTGAAAGCAGGTCCCCGGACCACACTTTGAGTAGTAGTTTAGAAAAATTAGGAGCAGCAGAGGCTTAAGTTCTAGATAGTATGTCTAACAATGGGACCGGGAAGTTATCCTACACAGGGCAAAGGTCTCTGTCAAGCCATAGGGATGCATTTGTTTGGTGGGAAATTAGATCAGAGGCCCTTTATACAATCCTTTCCAATTCTACGATCTGCTGATCTTCTAGCTGAGGAATTGGGTGACTTGTCTGAAATGCATGATTATGTGGGAAGTGAGAGCCCGTCGAAGAGTAGCTAAGACCCCGCCTGTGAGTTCTCCCCCGCCTGAGGGAGCGAGTGTGGGGCTTCGCCAGTGTCCAGGCCTGTGTGCCGTGGGGGAGGAGGGGCCCCAAGGCAGGGGCACGCGGGCGTCCGTGGGAGGGTCTGAGGTGCTCAAAGCAAAGCTGCAGGGGTGACGGTGGAGGGGGAGGAGCCACAGAAAGGGGCAGGATTTGAGGGTGAGAAGAGCTGGGAGCATCTGTGCGGTCAACGAGATAGAGCTTTCGTTAATTACTGGAGCGTGAAGAGAACGGAGGAGAAAGGGAGGCTCAGAGCTACAGACCCAGGGGGAAGGTTATGAAGGGTTCTAAAAAGGGAGTGGGACCAGGGCTTCCCTGGTGGCGCAGTGGTTGAGAGCCCGCCTGCCGATGCAGGGGACACGGGTTCGTGCCCCGGTCCGGGAGGATCCCACAGGCCGCTGAGCGGCTGGGCCCGTGAGCCGTGGCCGCTGAGCCTGCGCGTCCGGAGCCTGTGCTCCGCAACGGGAGAGGCCACGACAGTGATGAGGCCCGCGCACCGCAAAAAAAAAAAAAAAAAAGGGGGGGGGAAAAAAAACCAATGTTTTGCAGTTTTTTTCATTGCCAAAAACTAAATGGTGCTTTATATTTAGATTGGAAAGAATAAAAAAAAAAAAAAAAAAAAAAAGGGAGTGGGATCAAATGCTCAAAACAGCTTTGGGTTGCTGGGCAGGAAAGAACACGAGCTGGAGGTCAAAGAAGCGCCTTGTTGCCATCATCCCCCAAGCCAAGTCTGATTGGCGACGTGTGTCTGGGTGTTTGCTCTATGTCCCGCAGGCGGGTCCTGGGATGGCACAGGGGGTGCCTCTCCAGCCGACCCAAACCCCTGACAGCCCTTGGGTGTCTGCACTGGCAGAGACGTACTCTCGGCACACTGAGAACAGACAGAGCAAACAGGTGCTTATTAGAGTTAAAACAACTTGGCATGACCTGGAGGTGAGCGGCAGAGGCCAGCAGGTGCGGGGAGAAGGTGTTTGTTAAGTGCAGCAGAGCAAAGACGGCAAGCAATGGGCAGCCTCGCCAGCTTTTTGGAAAGCAGCTCCGGAGAACCCTGCCCCTGAATCCCCCAGGGGGAATTACACAGGGTCAGTTGATTTACATGCAACCAGCAGTCTGCTTTCTCTTATTTTGCCCCCTGATGAAAGTGCCTTGGAAGTCAGCCGAGCTTTCTGTGCTTGGCTCTACTTTTGGGGGTTTCAGAGGACGCACAGATCCTGGCCAAGGGTACTAGAGGAAGCAGTGCCCCGGGCTTGGCTGCCTGAACTGTCCCACGGGCCTGTTAGGGTCTAAAATGGCCTTGCAGTCCTTGGCTTGCCCAGCTATCTGATCCTTAAGCCCTTTGTCCTGAACAGCAGCCTGTGCGTTGCCAGAGGTGCAATTGTGAAGCCATCGAAGCTCTTAGCCCTGTCCAGGGGACCCGGTGGAGCCGCTACTCCCATCTGGAATCAAAACAAAACAGAACCTACAGTCTCTAGGACTCTTTGAACTTGTGGAGGACAGACAAGTATCCCCCAGCAAGAGAAAGGCCTGGACTCTTCTTGTTCCTAGTGCCCCAAGGCTATAAAGGAAATTGTCTCTCAAGTCTGTCAACTCATGGCCCAGGCCCCAACCAGAGTTTGTGGAAAGCATCTAACCGGGTGAGATTTTTCTTTCTCATCTCTGCAGGCCTCAACAGCATCTCAGAGAAGAGAACTTGTTTCTTCTCTCTGCATTCCCAGTTCTTGGGCCAAACCTTGAAGAGATGCACACAGAAGTGAAGAAAGGGGAGCCAGGGAGTGTCGTAATTCATAGGAGAATTCCTGGAGAGAGAACGTATTTCTGTTCCCCATATCACAGAACTACTTGGGCAAAATTGGCTCTGCCCTTTCCTGGGAAATGATAAAAATTTCTCTCTTTCTTTGACCCTTGTTCCTCAAGTATAAACCCGAGAGAGTATCCCTTTTCAGGTTTGTAAGAGCCTAGTTACTGAATCCTTAGGAATTTCTATCACAACCTCTACAAAATTGCCTCTGGGGAATGGCGATTGTGAAAGCTTTGCTTATTTAACGGCTTCCTTACTTTCCTTACAAGTTGGGCCCTTGAGCAGTATCTTTTGTTGGAATATCTGGTTTAATGCTTTCTGTCCAAATCTGAGTCAAATGACAAGGATTTAGAAAGACAAACCCCATGTAAACAAGCTTAACTTTCGTCAGTAGCTAGAAAGGTGAGTTCAGGTTCTTACCTGGATTAGTTCAGGGGCTATTTTGGCTGTTAGTGTAGGTGGTGGTGGACCAGAAATCTGTAATAACATTTGACTGGTCAGAGCATGAATTTTAACCTAACTGTTCTCAATCTTTCCTTGATCCATCCTAGCAAGACATTACCAAGGTCAGAACCAAGGTAAAGTTTGTCCTTGGGTGGTCTGAACCTGCCCTGGAGGAGGCATTGAAATGGAAAAAAATATATATAATGGATTTAACTCAAAACACTAACTGAAAATTCCAGGTAACAGTAACCCTTGTATTTCACAACTGTCAAAGTAAAAGCATCTTTTACTAAAGTGCCATATTTCTTTATACTTCATTATTCTTACAGTAATTCAGCTGTGCCACTCCTTAGGGGGTTAAAGTAATCCTTCAATAGAAATGTCACTTAACATTTAGCAATTTGCTTAAACTGCATTAACATGGTATTGATGCAAATAGCATTAGCTTTCAGTCATTTTTAAGGGTACACAATGGGTTATCCTTAATTACTCTGTGGGAGAATCAAATACACTTCAGCATTCATTATTCACTGGGCAATTTTTCTGTAGCAAGGCTTTAAAAGGGAGAAGGGAGATGGGAGATTCTGTAAAGAGAGATGCAAAGTCCATTTTCAGCGAAAGGGGACCACATAAAAAGCAGCTGAGGGTTGGAAGGGAAGAGATAAGAGGTCATGGGAAAACATCGGTTTTTCTTAGAATCAAATCTTTCTGCCATAACTTTTCATTCCCTTTGTCTTCATTCCAGTTATTTGGACACAAACTCAAAATAGCTGTTTTCTAATTATAAAGTGAACACAGGCTGACTGTCAAAATACACACTATGGGTAGTAAGGAATCACCTGCAATCCCTCTATACACCAGTGGCTGGTTTACAATTTTGGTATATAGTGTTCTATCCCTTTTTCTATGCACACGTTCTCATGTGCAAAAACATAATTATAAAACATGAGATTGGTACCCATCCTGTTTTGTAGCCTGCTTCTTTGACTTAACAACCTGTCACAGACCAATCTTCTGTCAGTAAGTGCACATATTTTAATAACTGCATAGTAATTTCTTTAACTGTTCTGACAATGGACGATTAAACCATCTCCGTCTATTTTTCTATCATGAACAACATCTGTGTCCAGGCCTCTTTTGACTTTGGCTGATAATTACCTTAGGATATATTCCTGTAAGTGCAAATGCTGAGTCATTTCTCCATACTCAGGCCCAGTCTGTGTTTTATCAATTTCCAATGTTAATTGGTGAAAAATGACCTCTTATTGTTTACTTTGCATTTATTTGACTCCTGGTGAAGTTGAACGCCTTCTGTTATATTTATTGGCCATTGATAGTTCTTCCATGGCCTGCCTGGTCATGGCCTTCACCCATTTTTCTTTTGGAATATTTGTCTTACTATTTTGTAAGACTGGATTTTACGAAAAACCTTCTCCTGACACCTTAAGGAGGATAAACATTCAGAGATGAGATACATGTTGGTGTGAAGGGAAATTGCACGTGGAAGGGACGGGCAGTTGTAGATGCTGGTTCCTTCCTGTCCCAGGTTTCACCACTTCCTCCTCCTTAGCTGCCCTTGGTCAGGGGGTAGCATGGAGTAGAAAGGTGCATCACCATGCCTTGCCACTGGGTAGCGCTCTGCTCCCCTCCCTGGTTTACCCTTCAAGGTGGACATTCTGGTGATATGTTAGATCAGTGGAGGCAGCCATGGCACTTCTTGAGACAAACCAGACCAGGAAAACAACGCCAGTGAAGCCACGTTCCACCTTCCAAGCCCGTGTTCCACCTTCCAAGCCCGTGTTCCACCTTCCAAGCCCGTGGTAGAGTCAGCAGGCCCTGCAGCTGGGCCTGAGGCATTCTCCATCTTTTCCAGAACTCTTTGCTCAGCATAGCTATGGACCTCATTCTCCAGGCTGCCCCCGCTGGCCCTGGGATGCAGCACTGCGACCTCCTGGCTCCGCTGGGTGCCGAGGTATTCCTTGGCAGGCTCTCCCATGAACAGCCTGGCCTCTGCCCTGTGGGTGGTCTCTGGCTCCCCCAGCCCCAGCCTTGACTTGTCCCATGCTCCTCTCTGCCTTGTTAGGTTTGCACATCCATGGGGCAGTTAAGGGGCCATCTTCCTTGGACTCCTGCCACCTATATCAGCTCCTCTTCGTGGGCTACGGCTGGGGGAGCCCCTTGCTTTTCCTGCTACAAAGTTTCTGTTCTTTCCTGGACTGCCTCCAAGTTCCTGTGTCCTGTCTGAAAGGGCATCTTTACCTCATCATAGAGCAAAGACGACTCACAGATCCCCACGTGCAGCCTGCTTCTGTTCCAGCTCACACTTCTCAGGTGTCCTGCTGCAGGGATCTTGGTGGGATGTGTTCACCGACGTAGCCCAAGACCCTAAAATGGTGCCTGACACACAGTGGGCACTGAAGAAATGGTTCTGAATGAACAGATGGATCAGGTTTTGCTTGCACGCCCCATCTACAATCACTTCTAGAATCTTTTTTTTTTTTTTTTTTTTTTGCGGTATGCGGGCCTCTCACTGTTGTGGCCTCTCCCGTTGTGGAGCACAGGCTCCGGACGCGTAGGCTCCGTGGCCACGGGTCACGGGTCCAGCCGCTCCACGGCATGTGGGATCCTCCCGGACCGGGGCACGAACCCGTGTCCTCTGCATCGACAGGCGGACTCCCAACCACTGCGCCACCATGGAAGCCCTAGAATCTTTTGACTATAGTCACGTATATGAAAGGAAAAAACCACTTCATAAATGCATCAACAGCAACTTGCTTGTCCATCAGCAGAAGAGTTGCCCTCATAATTAACAGAATATTTTCAGCGATTTGAAGAAATAAAGAAGTTATCTATATATTAAATATTATTTAGTATGGTTGGGCTAAAATATCACAGCAAATATTTGTAGCCAAGCACTAGGACAGGCATTCATGAAAGTAGACTGGTGGTTGTCCAGGGCTGGGGGAGGGAAGGCTTAGGGGGACACGGTGAGTGACCATCAGTGGGGGTGGGGATTCTTTCTGGGGTGATGAAAATGTTCTAGAACTGACGGTGGTGATGGTCACACAACCCTGTGAGTATACTGAAAACCACTGAACTGTGCACTTTAAAGGGGTGAATTGTATGGTAGGTGAAAAGTGTCTCAATAAGGCTGTTATTTTAAAAGCAACGTAGGCGTTCAAACAGCAGTCTTCACTCTTCTTCGTTCCTACAGGAAGTCCTTTGAGCAGAGGCCACATGCATTTGAAAATTCTCGTCCTTCCTCCCTCCCCAGTCTGGCTCCTTTCTTAGCAATTAGGGCACAGGCTGCACGGAGCGCTTGCCCTGAATATTTGTCTAGCAGTCTGTGGGGCAGCATGCACGTGGGTGCTGGACCAGGATGAAGAGTGAACACTGATGGGCTGCGAGGCTGCTGCCCAAAGCTCTGTCCCCAGGCCAGGAATAAGGAAGCTTTGCCAGGCTGGGGGCCACTGTTTCAAGTTGCTTGAGGTTTTCCATAAGCACAGGCCCAACTTGTAACAGGATTTCCAAGCTCCTGGTGTAGCCAAATAAATATGCCCCGGGCTTAATTATATGTGTTATGTAAAAACTGACATCCTCTAAGGAGACACCCACTCACTCAGCTACTCAAAAGTCTTTGAAAGAACCAAGATGGTGGGGGAGTGTCTGATATATTTCAGAGATTATTTGTATGGTATTTTTATTTGGGGACTTTATATTATAGCTTCTTCCATGAGTCATTCATCCAATGTAGTAATAATACTCCCTATTTCATAGAGTTTTTGGGAAGAGTAAATAAAATAATGCATACAGGGTGCCTGGCACAGGGAGAGAACGGACTGTGCGTTCTGTTACTGTTGCTTACCGATCACAGCGGGAATTGGCTGTGTCTAAGACCCTCGAATCTTGTCGCCCCACTGATGTCAAGGCAGGTCAGGCCCCTGATTCTGTGCCGCATCATTAGTGCCTCGGGTGGTCGTTTATGGCAGGGACGCCTCCTGCGAGGGGATTCACGGAGAGCCGGCTGCTGGGGGTGAATCACGGCTCTGCTGCTTCCCAGCTGTGTGGCTGGGGACCGATTGCCTCACTGACCTACTCCTTGGCTTCCTCCTCAGTACGATGAATTAGTCAAATTAGAAGTAATGTATCTACTTTCTAGGGTTGTTCTGAGGATTTAATAGGTTAATATTTGTCAGGTGTTTAGAAGAATGTCTAGCACATTGAAAGTGTTTGGATTTGTTGAATAGAAAGATGACTAGAGAGCTGGGCTCTGACATGGAAGGCGGGGAAGGGGTCGTGCTACAAGGCACTGATGTTAGGAAGCTGGAGGTGAGGCTGAAAGAACGAGTCCTGGGCACTTCCTCCTAGGAGGAAAAAGTGGCACCAGGTGGGAAATATTTGGAAAAAGTAGCTGAGACAACAGGGACGCTCCCGCTGTGGAATTTCCCGCCCTCTTGCCAGAAGACCTTTAGAGCTGGGATAGATGCTCATTGCCCAGGAAGCCTGGTGTAGAAGCCTGTGTAAAACGGGTGTTTGGATTATCAGATGGGCTCCTAAGGTCGTATCTGAAGTAATACTGAGATTAATTCCATAAACTGGACTTTAGTAAAACCTAAAACATGATTTAAGAAATGGATACAAGTGGGCAGACAAAAAGCAGTCAGAAAAGGAATAAAAACTTGAGCTATCTGGCTTTTCCTAAAGGGATTCTTTTTGTTTTGTTTGCTTCTAATATTTGAAGACTTCCAGGAGTATTCAGTTTGTCCCTTAAAACAAAACAAAACCCAACAGTGTTTACATAGGAATCTATTATCCCTTCAACTGAACTTTTGGAGAAATGGGGATTTTGCAATGGGAAAGTTTCACGTCATATCCAACTTCCCAAGTACGATTAACAGCAGTCCTATTTTCAAATCTATATTAAGTCCCTTCTACATAGTTTGCTTAGCTTTTAGCTTGGTTCTGAATTATTACTGGGCTCAGGTTTACCCCTTGAATCTGGGAGGGCATGACACACACCCCTGGCCCAGGTCTCCGGCGCTCTCCCCTCGCCCAGCTTAAAAGGTGGGAGATGGGCTCATACACAGGCATTCAGACAGAGCTACTAACTCTAAAAACCCAGTCTTCCATTCTTCTAGCACATGGCAACACACAGTCTACCTACTGACCCAGCTCCTGGCTTCTCTGGCCCACGGGCTGTGGTCTGAGGCTGCTGGTGGTAGAGCCTGCAGATGGGGGCGGCTTTGGCAAGGTGGTATGGGTGCCTTCGACTGCGGTGGTCCCCAGTACTTGCATCAGGGGGACTGGCTGTGCGGTTGTCCCTGGAGCTGATGGGCTCTGATGGGCTTTTGTGGTCTCACCTGTAAGAAAGTGGAATTACACTGGGTCTTACAAAACAGACGGTAGGCTCTTCAGGACAGAAATAAATATTTCTTGAACACTAGCTATGAGCAAAGTCCTGTGCTAGCTGCTGTGGAGCAATGTACAATCTGGATGGAGCAATAAGCCAATAAACGAACCAAAGATGAAATAACAAAATACTTAAAAGACAGCTCAAAACAACATTAACATAGACAAGGCCAAACATGATTAACTGTCAAATTAATTTTCCATACACCAGAAGCAATGGTTCATGAACGTATTTTTTTGCTGTTTCAGTTAGTGTTGGCCTGGGGATAGGGCGTACTTTCAGGGCTTTCACCATGTTAGACAATGTGTCTTAGATGTTCTAGTTTAGATTTGGTTCATGACTAGCCGACTAACTCCTCTGGACCCCAGTTTCCTCATCTATAAAATGGGGTATCGGAACTAATTAGATGGTAAGGACCATCTAGATGATTCTTCTGAATTGTGCTCTTCATTCCCGTGTGATGATTTAGATTGTTTCCATAATTTTAAACGAGTCTGAATTTGTTAGGTGGAGGGCATGGGGACAAGGGGCCCACTGGGCCTTGGCGTTGTATTGAGAACCGTGGGTCTGCGCCAGAAGGAGACAAAACATGGTCCCCAAAGTGAACGGCACCGCAGCCCTGGGAGGGAACAACAGCCACCAGTCACTTGTGTCTGCTGGACCCATGGCAGGTATGCCAACTTCTACACCTGTGCATCTCTATTAGTTTCCTGGGGATGCTAACAAATTACCATGTGCTCAGTGGCTTAAAACAACAGAAATTTATTCTCTCACAGTTCTGGAGGCTGAAAGTTGGAAATTAGTGTCACTGGACTGAGCTCCCTCCAGAGGCTCTAAGGTAGAATCTGCTCCCTGTCTCTTCCATTTCCTGGTGGCTGCTGGCATTCCTTGGCTTGTGGCCCCACCCCTGCAGTCTTCAAGGCGAGCATCTTCAATTCTCCCTCTGCTCCATCTCCATGTGGCCTTCAAATCTCCCTCTGCCTCCCTCTTTTTTTTTTTTTTTTTTTTTTTTTGGTATGCGGGCCTCTCACTGTTGTGGCCTCTCCCGTTGCGGAGCACAGGCTCTGGATGCACAGGCTCAATGGCCATGGCTCACGGGCCCAGCCGCTCCGCGGCATGTGGGATCTTCCCGGACCGGGGCACAAACGCGCGTCCCCTGCATCGGCAGGTGGACGCTCAACCACTGAGCCACCAGGGAAGCCCTACCTCCCTCTTTTAAGGATATGTGTGATTGCATTTAGTCTTCTCCACAACCCTGCCCCCAGACAATCCTGGATAACCTCCCCATCTAAAGATCCTTAACTTAATCACACCAGCAAAGCCCCCTTGCCTTCCTCCCCACTCCCCTTTTTTGCCGTATAAGAAAACATTCACAGGTTCCAGGGATTAGGACATGGATATGTTTTCGGGGGTCGTTTTTCAGCCTATGACAGCATCCCAGCTCTAGCCTTAACTCTGCTTAGGGATGAAGCATCTTTGGTCATAGAACAGCAGGCCGGCAGTGGCGGGGGGTGGAGCGGTAGCATCTGAGATAGAAGGAGCTGTACTCTTCATGGGAACCACCAAACCTCCTCTTTGACATTGTACAGCATGCTGGGCAGTGTCAGACCACAGCCCTGTCCAGCCATGCAGACAAATGTGAGGTGGCGTCAGGTGTTTGGATCCACTGCTCAGCACTGGCACCTGCTCATTTCCCCACCCTGACGCTATTACCTCCTGTTGGGAGAGCAGGTCAGCACACAGCGCCCTGGGATTGGGCTGGAGTTCGGCCATCCTGTCTGCTCTTGCAGGCATTAGCCCGGCAAGGCAGGAAGTGGATCCCTCATTCACCCTGATGTTTGCTAACAGTTGGTTGCCTTTAAAGCCACCTGGAGACTGTGCCAGACAGATTGCTAAAGAGCTGGCAGCAGCCTCGGGGGTTCAGCCAGTCTTCATGCCACCCTTGGGCAAAACGAGGGTGATTTATGACATTTCCATTACTCTAAAGGAATTGAGCTTTCATAACAAGTCCTAGGGAAGTTTCTAATTTCTCTAAAGTACTCTTCTGTTATACCCTCTGGTAAATGCTACCAGGCAGTAATGCCTGTTTAGGGAGATGCAGGCCCAGGTTCATACAGGGAAAAGCCATTTAATAGAATCACTTGTATAGTTTATGAAATAGGATAGAGTTACTAACTTGGAGAGAAATATATAAATAAACTGACAGTACATTTTACTTGCAAAGTATTAATTAAACCACAATTAATTAAATTAAAGATAAAACTTCTACTTGGAAATAGTCAATATTTTTGCCACTTTAAACTCATTGGCTATGGAGGATCTGGATTATCTTTTTCTCACACCATTGGCTAATTCTGAGGTTTCTGAACCCCCGCAGTTTGCCTTTGCTGGTATTGCTTTGCTAGAGAGCAGATTAAATATCCTGAGGGCAGCCATTTATGTTACTTGCATAGAACACAGATGTTTTCAAGCACATCATAAATTCAACCAACAGAGCCAAATCCCTGGTCTTCCACTGTCTTCCACACAAGACCTAGTCGTTTTTGCCTGCTCTCCTTCACAGAATATAACTGTCTTTAAGAGGGAAATAGAGAAGATACTCTACCCCAGTGCTTCCAGTTCCTTGCTGAGCATAATGCCTGATGTGACCCAAAGTGAGTTCTTCACGGGACCAGGTTCTTTTCGAGCAATTTGAAATAAAACCACCAGAATAGTTTCTTCGTACAACCTCAGATACATGGAAGTTTGGTCTTTTTTCAACGATTTTCATGGGAAAACATTTCAAAACTTCCCTTAGACTCTTAACGTACTCCTCTTTGGACAAGGTCAAGAACAGCTCCAGACAACCACCTTCTCAACAGCACCAAGAGGGCCTCCCAGCTTCCTACACCTGGTCATCATTAGCATCACAGTGGAGGTGATCCAGGGCCCTATTCACAGAGATTCTGATTCACTGATCTGGGCTGGGCCTTGGAAATCTGATTTAAGAACCACAGCCAGAGCCAGGCTGGCCACTAGGCTTTCTTCAGCTTCCTGAGCCTGGCTCCCTTTGCTGGAAAATGGGGACGGTCAGACCTACCTGGGGGACTGTTGTCACAGGTAGAGATCATGTCTGTAAGGGGGCCACACAGTGCTTGGCGCATGGTAGGCCTTCGATAAATGACAGTTGCTGACATCATCGTGATATGCCTCCCTCTCCCCCAGTGGAAAACAGGGCTTTCAGCAGGTGTCAAATGTGAGGTGACTGAAGGAAATTTAAACCAGTTTAGCAGCAACACCTTGGGGTCAGAGCGACAGGGAAGGATTTGGCTCTTCCCATGAGAACTTAGAACATGCCTCAGGGTTCTACATGAGGGCAGGAAGCTTAATATTCACTGAGCATCTACTATGCACCTCTTTTACAGAAGCATTCACATATGATATTAATCACAATCCTGAAAGTCAGCCAACTATTCCCATTTTTAAGACAAGGGACAGATTCTCCAAGAGGTCAAGAAACGAGTCTCAGGCCACATGGACAGCAGGTAGTGGAGTCAGGATTTGGACCCACTTTTGTTTGATGCCAAGTTCCATACTTTGTCCCACAAAAGGGGAACGAAGTAGAAGTCATGAGTCACTTTAAGGTTCCTGAATGGGGTTCCCCTCAGAGGGTGACCTGAAGTCTCCAGAGTTCTGGTGGAAGTAATCTTACTCCCAAGACAGGGTGAAGGGGTGGCCTTGGAGGGTGTTGGCAGTGAGGGCAGAAGGTCCCTGAACAGTCAAACGTATTACAATAAACTTGGGCTTGATTTTCTTCCAGGGCAAGGGATGACCAAGGGGAGTCAGGAGGGGGTTTTCCCGACACTCTAGCTCAGCAAGAGTAAAGATTTACTTTCCCTTCTCTTGTCGCGATGCCGGCAATGTGCCTTCTCAGCTTTGGGGGACCTTCTACAAACCGACACTTACCTGTTTTTATTGAGCTCAGAGTAGCTTGAGACTCCAGCCAAATACCAGCTGCCTGTTTAATGGCTGCTAACTGCCTTGGGAACGGTGTTTAAATCTCAGGAATGTGTTTTCTCAGCAGGAGCTGCACATGGCAAAGCAAGATGCATCCTATTTTGTGAGTGAGATAATTTCCCATGAAAGAGGGTTGCTATGCTTTGGGGGGCCGTCCTAACCTGATTCACCTGTTCACTCACATTCTTGGAGAGATCAGGAAGTGTCTTGCAGGGGCATGCTGGGGCCTGAGCAGCTGCTGGCCCTCACATCTTCACTTCTGCTGCTTCCTTCCATTTCTAAAGGAATTTTATCACTGAAGGAAGAGTAGCAACAAAGGGAGCCACCCTGTTATGGTTCTCATTGGAATTTTTTATTTGAATTGGTGAAACTCACTCCATGGTGGGACTGTCACTTGAAAGAGAGGTTCCTCTAATCTTGAAGCTGGATGAGACCCCAGTATCCCTTTTATGTTGGAATCCTTATAGCTGAGCTCAGAGTCTGCCACAGAGCAGGTGCTCACTACATGGTTATTGAATGAGTGAGTGAATGAATGAACTTAATTTTTCAGACTCTGACAACCATGAATAAACTTGTGATAGGAGGCTGATAGTGATACATGGTGATGGTGTCATCGAAGGTGGAGATGTTTTGGTAGAGGGGACAGATGACAGTAGCAATGCCTGAGGTTCTGGCTATGGCTTTTGCTAATTTTAAATGTACGTAGCAGCATAGGAATTCCCTGGCAGTCCAGTGGCTAGGACTCTGCGCATTCACTGCTGAGGGCCTGGGTTTGATCCCTGGTCGGGGAGCTAAGATCCCACAAGCCGAGCAGCGTGGCCAAAAAATATAAAATAAAATAAAATAAAACAGAACAAAACAAAACAAAATAAAATAAATAAAATAAAATAAAAATAAAGTACGTGGCAGCAAAGTGTGAGAAGGCGCCCCATCTCCTCCACACTCCTGGCTGTCAGTGAGTCAGGCCTGCTGGGGTGGGCAGTGCTAAGCTGGACCACGGTGCCTGGGGCAGATAGAGAAGTTTTGAAAACGATCTCTGCTATGGAGGACGTAGAAACCAATGGATTTTATCAACTAAGTCGTCATTTGGCTGTGGTTGTCTTCTCTCCCCTCCACCCACTCTCCCTTCAACTTGACCTGCTTCAAGGGGATGCGATCAGATTTTGTGTGCTGTAGGGGCTGCTCGGAGCGGGGCCCTTGGGCAGGGGCTGAACCTTATCTGAAACGAGGGTGACCCGGCACCCTGCCTCAGGGTCACTGTGTAGGACAGGTGTCTGACACAGAGAAAGCACTTGCTGCTTGATGGCTACAGTCACAGGAGGTTGTGCAGCACTCTTCCTCTTGTCCAGATTCTGGCTACGACTAAAGTCAGAGGGCCCCAGTCCCCCTTTCTGCATGAGGAGAGGTGCCACTGAACTTCCTATGGGTGGGGCTGTCCTAGAAGAACCTGCACCATCACCAACCCCACCTGACCCAGGTTCGTCAGCAGGACAGGACCAGAGGAGGGGGAAGGGTCCGAGGCCACCTCTGGGGGAGAGCAGTGTTCAGGGTAAGAGGATATTCCCTTCCTTCCTTCATGCTTTGTCCTCCCCAAGCCAGACAAAGGGGCTTCAAGAGAATCTCTCAAGACCACGGGGCCTGCGGGGTGGGGTGAGGGGGCGGGGACAGGCCCTCGTTTCCCGCTGGCCTTTCTGAGCTGCGTCACCGACAGGCTCACCTGGTGCACTGCAGGAGCAGAGCTCAAAGAGGAAGTCTGGGGGTGTATTCTGGGAGTCGAGAAGTATTCTCCCTCTCACGGGAGAAACAGGGAGTGCTTGGCATGTGGTCCCTGAAGCTGGAGGGCTTCCTTGAACATGGGGTCTGTTCCTGAAGTGGGGGAGGGGTGCTGCTGGAGGGGCTCAGGAGGCCAAAGGTGAGGCGAGATGGGACAAGAAAGGCGACCAACCTCATCCCATCCTAGGTCTCCTCAGGCCCCAAAAGGGAAGAGGCGAACCCCAGCCACTCCTGTGACTCTGTGTGAAGGTGCTGCTGCCAGTGGATGGGGCCCCTAACTCAGAGAAAGAGATGGGGACAGGATACAGCAGAGCACTGCCCCCGGCTCCAGATACCCACACACATTTCTCAGTGAGAAATCACTGAGAGCTTGGACGAGACAACAGAGAGGGCAGAGACACTCTCCCTCCACCAACTGGCCAGCCACTCAAGGAGACCTCTGTCCCCTAGTCATCTTCCCCGGCCCACACCAGAAGAGGACAGGTGACATCTCAGAAATGGTCCACAGGGCACCACCACCCGCTGCCAGCTTGTGGGCGGGGTTACAGAACAGGTGGTTCCTTGCAATAAAACAAACAAACAAAAACAGGTCTAGATTACTGGAATAATTAAGAAGTCATTAAAGATACAGTTGGAGAGGAACTGGGGTGGAAAAATGAAAAACATTCCCTATTTGCATGCTAAGGTACCTCAAATCAGGATTCTTCATATACACTGAAATTAGCATAAGAAAACATAGGATAATGGTGTAGAGAGGGGTTTCTGAAGCCGGATTGTCCGGATCTGATTCTAAGCTCTGCTACTTACTTGCTGTGTGGCAAAGGGCAAGTTACTAAACTTCTCTGGTGCTGCAGTTTCCTCAAACTGTAAATTAGGGCTAAGAGCAGTACATACCCGTGGTATTGTTGGGGTGAATAAATACAATAATCAGATAAAACTCTTGGAACAGTGCCTGGCACGCGGCGAAAGCTCAATAAATGCTAGCTTTTATTGCCTATCCTTAAACCATATTCACCTTAAGTACATGAACAAAATCAGCGAGCTTTTCAACTTTCTGGAAGTAATGTTAAATCCCACCATAAAACAACTCAACAGCTTCTCTTTGTGTGAGAAATCAAAGCATACCTTCGCTCAGAAAAGACAATAATGCATAGTATAGCTCTTGCTTTCACACAGAAACCTAGAAAAAGGCATTTTCCTGGACTGAGTTTTACTGTTTTACCCCCTTGGTGATTCACAGGAAGCTGGGTCCTCACAACCTCACAGACTGTATTTTTGGCTTGGGTTGTTGAGATGAGCTGCTTGCTGCTATCACATAAGCCACATCATCCTCTTTGCTTCCCTCCATTTCGTATGTAAGTAGAGACAGTCTTTTCCCTTTCAGCTGCCAGGGAACATTTCCACACAGAATGTCATGTCATCTTCTAAAGTAACTATACAGTAAAATTCAGGGCAACAGTCATTCTGAGTGAAAATGACACAAACTCAGAGATAATCTCAGAATTGCCAAACAAAAAATAAAGCCTCTCTCTTCAGCACATTGGTTTCTGTGCCCATGTTCCTGGCATCTGTTAAAATATTACTGGAGTCAGCGGAGCTTGACCGGTTAAGTTGCTAATTTTTATATCCTATCTCCTAAAACACAATATTGCCTGTTTACAAAATCAGAAGATTTAAATGAAATCACACGTGGACACTTGCCTGCTTTGGCAGCTGGGCTTTTAGATGATGAATATGTAAGAGATGATGGGTAGGTTACACCCTTTTGGGGTTTACCTTCTGCAAAAAAAAAAAAAAGGAAAAAAACCACAATGATTTATTTCTAGAGCTAGAGGTTTTAGATGGTTGCATTCTGTTAAGTTGACTCCCTCCTGCTGATTTGTTTCTCTTGAGTTCAATGAAATCAGTCAGTCTCCACACCCCTCTCCCTTGCTGAATTGTTGATTACAATGAGAAAGTCAAGTGGCATTCTGTTTTCCTGTATCACCTATGTTTTATTAATATTAGAAAGGAGGCAATAAAACCTCCCTCAGAATTAACATGAGCAACCCTTATTTTGCCCATGAAGATGTGAACTGGAAGTAAAGTTTTCATACACGGGACTTTCTGAATGTTGAATCAGGTCAGTAGATGAATGGAAAAACCCTCCCCACGTTCTTTTCTTGGTTGCTGAGAGCTCTGGCCATCGGCTGGCTATACGTGAACAGCAACCTCTCCCTTCCACAGACCCCGTGGGACCCATTTGAATTCCACGGCACTAGAGAAACTTGAAAGTAGGTAAATAGAGATCAGCCTTGAAAATGACCATTTGTTGTCCACCCAGGGAGTGAAAGTTTAGATACCAGGCGAGAAGGAATGCTAATGTGTATCAGGGAAACCACGGAGGCATAAAGAAAAAAAACGATCAGGGCTGGGGAGGCAAGCCGCAGGCCTGGTGTGGCTGAACATGCCTGAAAAGTCTGCAGTCTTCAGCCCTCTGCCAGGGAGTGCGGCTTGAAATTCCACCAAGGAGCTTCATTCCACACGAAATGGAAAGTGTCACTAGAATGTAGAAGCCCCCCTGAGGCAGTAATTTGTCTCACTTGGTGGCTGTTAAATCCCCAGGGCCTGGAGCAGTGTCTGGGATGTAGTAGATGCTCAATAAGAATAACAGAGGAGGGGCTTCCCTAGTGGCGCAGTGGTTGAGAGTCCACCTGCCGATGCTAGGGCAGGCGGGTTCGTGCCCCGGTCTGGGAGGATCCCACATGCCCGTGAGCCATGGCCGCTGGGCCTGCGCGTCTGGAGCCTGTGCTCCGCAATGGGAGAGGCCACAGCAGTGAGCGGCCCGCATAACACACACACACAAAAAAACAAAAAGCAAACAAACAAACAAAAAAGAATAACAGAGGAATTATCTTAGTGCTTAGATCTCTGTTAAAAATTTAAATGCCCTTGGGAGGGGTCTCACCTGTTTTTCGATATTTACACCTGACAATGAAAGCATTTTAAACTCTCACCCTGAGGGAATATTTTTATAGGATGGGCTAGGAGGGAGAGGTGAGGAGTGTCAAATGGGAGGTGGGAGGTGGAACACAATCTAGTGCCCGACTTCGCCAAAGGTCCTCCTGGCACAAGGGACTGCAAGAGTCATGAGGCAGACAGAATAACAGGGTCTCAGGAGGGGCTTGGGATTGGGAGCAAGAAAATCCAGGTTTCCCTTTCTGTTTTACCATTCATTAACTGCCTCAATCTCTGAGACTTGGGGGTTTTTTGGTTTTTTTGATTTTTTAATTCAGAAAATATGGATAATGATGTGGACCAACTTACCATACAAAGTTGTAGGGATCTAAAGGAAAAAAAGCAGTTAAGAAGTTTCGGAACTATGTATCACCACAGAGATGCAAAGAAGTTATTCTGGTATTTCCTATAAATGTCACTCCAGGTGGGGAAGAGGCAAATGTTGGGGCTCATGGGAGTTACTTCATCGCACAAAAGCCACCTGGGAGCAGGGCTGGGCACCTGCATGTCCTCGCCCTGGGCCAGCCCTGCTCCAGGTGGACAGTGAGTGAGGTTATTTTAGACCCAAGGAGGGCGCCTTGGCTGTGGGCCTCACTTTATCCACAGTGAGCGCTGCAGAGACACCGGCTCCCTCAGTGTCCTATTCTTCTCGCATCTAAAATCCTATGGTTCTCTCTGTTTCTATTCAGAAGGAAAAGGAGCCTGAGCTCAGTTTTCTGCAATGTGGATCAGAGGACAAATGGGCAGCATTAGGAGGTCCTTGCTGGACCTTTTCCTTCCCTGAACTGTGGAAAGATTGTGCTGAACAAAAACACACCTCCCCTCTCCTGCCCCCTCCCAGCCCGCCAAAGTGAATTAATTAAAGACGCATAGCAACATGTGAAAAGTGGAAATAAAAGCCTAGAGAAAAGTCATGGAGGCATCAGAGCCTTCAGAGAAGGACTCTGACACGATCCAGCAAAACTTTTTGGCCAGAAGCCTCCGGACAATGGAGAACCTGCCCTGTCCACCGCCAGCTGAGACCTGTAGCCGGCATTGCACTCTCTTAACTCATTCATTGGAGACCCCTAGCCATTGCAGAAGCACATGTGTTTATTATCATTGGCAGAAAGTGTTTCTGGTTAAATGTCACTAGGTTGAATGAGAGGACATGGAAGTTGAGATTTATAGGGAATAATCACAGCAGATTGATTTTCATTTAAAAAATCTAAAACATCTCTACTCTCATGGAATTAATTTTCCTTGTAAACCTCTGCTGGGATTCTTGGATTGCAGGCTAGGCAACAAAGATTGAAACCCTCTTATTTCGCCAGGAGCTACTTGGTAAACACCAATGTGGAGATTATATGTCTATGATTGGCAAATTTGTATTCTAGACCTTAGCATTTTTATATGGCCGCAGTTCTGAATGTTTTGTTACAGGGCAAAGCTTGAGGTACTATGGTTGATAACCTCCCATTATTTGACATAGAAACCAGTGTAATTTGAACCCTAGGAGTGCAGAATTCTGCAGATAAGAGGAAACAGGGATTGCTTAAATAGAGAAGAATCTTAAACGGTCTGATAGCAGTCCTATTAAAGCTCTGATCAATGGATAGTAGAGGTTGGGACATGGGGTGTCTAAAGGTGCAAAAACCCACCCAGATTGGAAGGCCTGATGTATTATGAGACATTTCTCTTTTCCTTGCTTTAGTTGGTCTTCCGTAGGTAGTTCTTTCTCAGGAGAGTCACATGGCTCCTGATTTTGTGGGGATGCCAGAAAGGTTTGCTAGAGTGTAGTTTAAAATCCTGCAGTGCCTCTTTGGAGAAGATGGGAGATTCAAGGTCCAGCGTAGGGTAAGTATAAGGTGAGGATAGAATGTTGTGTTGTGCTCAAACGCTAATGAGGCATGTCAAAAGCTGGAAGGGCTCCCACTGGCCAAACCTGGAAAGTCTGAGCAACAGAAAGAATAATGATGATAATAGACACAAACACATTGTACTTTAAAAAAACAATCTGTGAGTCCATAGTGGTACTTGAAAAAATAGTTGTGGAGAGAGGCGGGAAAGCCCTCTTCCTTGTGTAATAACACTAGCTAATATGTGTGGAAGAAATGACAGAATTAGAACAAATATAATTTTGCAATTTCTGATGTAATTCTTGCTACAGCAAGGATCATCGATAGATGTTAAAATCATTGGGTTAAATTTTGGAGGGAACAAGATATTCATGCTGTTTTGAAGTATCACCCTGCAGGTTGCTGTTAATTACAAAGTATCTTTACCATGAAGAGATAGGGTAAAGTATCCTAGTAATCACATTCAGCATCAGTGACAAATGGACAAAATGCTATTATGTGTCTCCTGATAGGGCCATTTGTGATACTCCACAATGGATATGCTATGATACCACCTATGTAGTATCCTTGACAAAATATTTAACCTGAATCCAACCATGAGGAAATAGCTGGACCTGTTTGTGGTCCAGACTGTGGGACATAGTACTAGATGACTGGCTGGGACTTCAAAAATGTCATCACTACTTATGACCGAAAAAGGAAGTGTGGTGGTAGACAGTTCTAGATTAAAGGAGACTAACATGGACATGACAACTAAATACAATGGATGATTTTTGATTGGATTGTAGCTTCCCCCCCTCCAAAAAAAGAAGAAGAAATTACTGTGAAGAATATTTGGGGGATAGTTGGATACAACTGAATAAGAACTTTTTCTTATTATTTCTTATTTATTAAATTATTGTATCAGTGTTAATTTTTTAGATGTGGTACTGTGGTTATTTAGGAAAATGTTTTAGCTCTTACCATACGTGCGCTGAAGTATTAAGGGGTAAAGTGTCATCATGCCCACAGCTTATTTTCACACAGTTCAAACGAAATATAAATAGATAGATAGATAAAGCAAGTATAGCAAAATATTAACAATTGGTGAATCTGAGTGAAGAGAATATGGTATTCATTGTACTATTCTTTTAATTTTTCTGTAAATTTAAAAGTTTTCAAAATAAAAAGTTAGGTTGGGGAAATTCACAAAAATAGAAAGAGGGGAGCAGGCAGGTCATGATGATAGTACAAAGACCTTGGTTATCTTTTTACTGTGAAATAACACAGCTATGAGTTCATTGATATTACCTCTTTGGAAGAGGGAAAAAAAAAAAAAAGAGTGAAAATGATTATCTATAAAATCCTGTGGAGCCAGATAGTGAGAATGGACTAAACAGTGAAACAATTAATTTAAAAAAAGAAATCTCAAATAAAATTGTAGCTCAGTGTTCTAAAAACCTGTCCCTATCTATCCATTTACCAGAATTCTCAAGGAATAAGCTTCCAGATATGAGGCACATTTGGCATAACTAAAGGAGTAGTTCAAAAATCCAGTTATTAAATGTAATTCATTTAACTAAAAGTTTGATTGGACTTACTGATAGCTGCTGTGTTTAAAATGAGTAATTGGAGCCTTTTAATATTTCCAGACTTTGTAGTGATTTATCACTGAAATTATAATTCATTGTTTCATTATCTTAACTATCAGAAGAACTAATGCTTCAGATTTTTATGAAATGAGGTGGGCCATAAACTAAAACTAATGGCACACTGAAAAGAGCCCATTTCATCCCGTGAGGTCACTTAACCGAAGTGCCAGTTGTAGGGCAGCATTTCTCCAGGGTGTGGTCCTACCTGAGACGACAAAGGATTCTCTCCATCGTGGAAGGGATAACGACTGGACACCATTGGAGTAACTCCCTTTATAGCCAGACTGTCCAGCAACTTTCCGAACAAGTATTTTCCCTCCTGAATTATCGAGCACACCACTGTGAAGAGAAAAAAAAATTTTTTTTGAAGAAAGGACAGAAAAATATTGTTTGACATATAACAGACTTTGAAACCAGCCATCATCTTTATTTTTTTTCTTGTTCTACATGTTATACATTTAAAAAAAATTTTTGGAGTATAGTTCATTTACAGTGTTGTGTTAGTTTCAGGTGTACAGCATAGTGATTCAGTTACACATATACATATATTCATTCTTTTTCAGATTCTTTCCCT